TTTCCCTTTGATTGAAATTCCACAAAGCTCACCTGTAGCAGATGATGTGCAGACACTTAATTGATCAGATTGTGGCACCAGAAAAATCCATTGCAGAATCAAATTTTCTGTGTGCTTATGCTCAGTCTATTGTGTGAATGAAGCAGACTTCCTCCAACTCTGCCTAGAATGGAAGAGGTAGAGGATGAACATGGAGGCTGGGGCTTGAAAGGCTTTTCAGAAGAGTTGATGCCTGAGCCAATGGATAAGAATGCAGTGATCAGGTGGACAAGACAGGAGACAGCATGCAAAAGCATCTGGGAGACTTGGTGGATGCTTGACAAATGTTCATCGGCTATGGCTGTAGTGATAGTGAATTGGAAACAAAGCATTATGGAAATGCTAGATTTCTGGGTTTTGTAATAAATGTTTCATTAACATACATTTTGGGTGCCTTTGAACTTAACACGAAAATTTGTGTTCTTCTGAAACCATTTTAATACCTTCTACTTCTGTGTCTTCAAAGCTACTTACATAAACACATCAGTAAGGAGAATATGCAGTAACAGCTAGCTGATGCAAATCAGGGACATGCTGGGGGATTCAGGTCTAGCCTTCTCCACATTTGTACTCTCAGCCTTAAAATATTCCAATTTCATGTAAGAACTAATAGGAATGCTGGTGTTGCCAACAAGGGCTCAACCTATAGCCAGTTCACTTGGAAATAAGGTTAATGCTAGAATCAGCACAAGTTCTTCAACAAAGGGCAGGCTTTTGTCTGATGTTGTTTCCTGAACATCTTCATTTACCTTTGAGCTTGTATATCTTAAAACTATTTCTCTCATGGCAATAATTTTCATAAGGAAAGTTAAAATGGCTTTTTTTTTTTTGTCTGAAACTTGCCTTCCTCAAGGTTCTTGGGGTCCTACTATGTTCAAATATTCTGGTCTCAGCACATCTTCTGCAAGAAAGTTTGAATGCTACTTCTAGAGAAGCAAGAAATGGGCCTCTTATTAAGAGCTCTAGGTATAAAAGATTATTTGCTCAAAGTTACTGAAGAAGCAGAAACAAATGTAATTGGTCATGCTGATTAGCCTTTCTTCCAGGGCTACCAAGTGAGGCATAAATTTATGACAAGAAATACTCCCAAATTTAGAGACAGCAGGACACTAAGGAAAAAAATCAAACCATGATGAATTTACTACAACCTATCTGGTTTTGAAATTTGAATATGCTTTCAAGTGTGAAGTGCTAATGGCTTTCTCGGTTTGTCTGGAAGTCATTCTAAGTTGTAATTGATAAAAGATAAGACATAATCTTAAAAACATAATCAAAATTAATAAAAACACACAAAGAAGGTAATTTACATGAAGCTTAGAAAATGGTGAATTGGAGGACAGCGGTGTGTCTCCACTCCTCATCTAAGAAAAAAGTTACCAATTCTACCCCCAGTTACCAGAACAGACCAGTTACCAGACAAGCTTGATCGATCAGATACATCCTCAAAGAGCACCCTCCTTCCTCTGCTCTAACTCTACTATGACATTTGGTCTCCAGAGTATATCAGCCACCTAGAGAGAGAACAGGAATGGGGCTCCTTTTAAATCCAACACTAGCATTCTGGTTTTCAGACGTGGCTCTTCTGAGTTTGGTTAGTATAACTCAACTCCCCCCCAAATTATCCTTCCTCAGTGAACTGACAAATTGAATTTTGGAGCCTGTGAAGCTGAGGCCCAGTCTCTGGACCACAGCGACTTCACCCAGTGCTGCCAGCATGGCATGACAGAGCCAGCTGGCCTGGGGACCTATGCTGCAGAAGAAGGGAGGTGCTGGCCAGCACTCAGAGGCAGCCTGAACCCTGCCCCTTGTCCCGTCACATGGGGATGATAGTTTATGAGGGAATTAGGTGCAAGTTTTCCTTGCAGACTTTTTCAGGGCAGATGCCTAGCATAAGGGTTCTCAATGGTGACCGAGAGTTTCCGGCACCCCTAGAAGGCACAATTTAGTGAACTGGCTGCCGTGGAGCAGCTGAGCCCTGGAGGCAATCTGCTTGAGACTTTAGTTATGCTTTGGAGACACCAGTGAGCCCTAGAAATGTGCAATGAATTATACAGAGAGCGACAGCTACCTCCTATTCTCCTCCCTTTGATAACCAGATTCACTGCTTCTGCCATTTAGCATGTGATTCCTCACAGAGGCTCAGGACAATGCTATTTCTTAAAGATTTCCTGCATACTTCAAAAACTATGTCACACTTTATAGAGAGGGAGGACGTCTTTATATCTTCTAATACCAATTCACAGTCAAATTTTCCCAGTTTTTCTAAGAATGTCCTTTGCACCATTGACCAACCTAGGATGTTATATTGTACCAGGTTGTTATAGCCCTAAATCTCTTATTAAGAAGAGTCCTTGTTTTTTAAAAAGATCCAGCCAATTACCCCATAAAATAACTCACCTTCTGTATTAATGTGCCTGCTTCCTTGAGGTCCCATTTATCTTGTGGTTTGTGTTTTGTGCACACCCTAAAGCCTCAATTAGATTCAAGTCCAAAGGGAAAAAAATATATATATATATAGGGAGCGATGTTGAATACTTTGTGTTGTCTTGCATCCCAAAACAATGTTGTCCTGGCATCAGTGGTACTAAGTCTGAGCACTGGATTAAAATGGTGGTCTTCTGATTTCCCCCATGGACACTGTTCCTCCTGTGACTGCAATAAGGAGTCTGTATGGTGGTGCCCTGGTCCCTATCAACAATTCATCTATTTTATCAGCAGTTGCTAATCCTTGCCCCAATCAGTAATTTCCCTCTAGCATCTCCTTTTCCACAGTCAGTAGGTCTTATGCTGCATGCTCTTCAGTTATGATATGAAGCAAGACATTAGCTTCTTGATCCTAATTTCCTCGTCTGTAAAAACGAGGCTGGAAATAGAATCAATCCCCGTGGTCACGGCACCATCACACAGGATAACTCTGTATACAGGTTTTGCCTGGAGCCTTGTGCCACAGATGCTTAAATCAGCATTTCCCAAGGTGTGCTCTAAGAATTGATGGTCCCCCGGTGTTCTCTACAGGAGAAGGGTCCACTGTTAAAATGATGTCTAGGAAATATTTGTGCATATTATCTAATTAAAGTTTCTGGAAGTTTTCTCAGGAAAGAAATCTGCTTCACTTTGTTTGATCAAGTGCTTTCTAATTTATTTGCACTCCTTCTCCCCAACCCTGCTTTTTAAAGCCAAGTAACACATATAAACTTTACATTAAATTGCCTTAAATTCTTCCAAAAGCTTCAACAGGGAGAGCATCAAACTGATGAGCCAGCCACCTGTGGAGTGTTGAAAAGTGTCTATACTGGCCTTTGAGTCCTGAAAAAGCCACACAAGTTAGAAAGGTTCTTAGGAGATTTAAATTTTTTTGTTGTGGCAAGAAAGGCAGAAATTGGGAGCTGGGCAGTAATTCCAGAGACAAGATGTTTTCCCTAGATTTCCGCCAAAGTTCATCAGGACTTCTACAGAAGCTCAAATGCTTATAAGTGTCCCATAGCAACTAGGACTTGCCTAGGCTGACCATGAGTGAGTCCCTTGGACCAATGCCCAGAGACTGGAGGGCATCTTGGTTCAGTGGAAGAGCAGAGGATCTGGAGCCAGAACAAGTGTCAATGGTCTTAGATCTTCCAGGTATTTGCCATGAAACCTGGGAAAATCCCTTAATCTCTCTGAACCTCAGTTTCTTCATCTATGTAATTGGTGCAATTAAACTGTTTAGCTCAATGGTTATGAACCTTTCATTAGATACATTAGCATTTTTAAAACTATGAAGTGCTAGTAAGTCGAATTTCAATGTTGAGAGTATTCTTACTGATCCATTTTCGGGGTTCTCCCACCTCATCTAATATTTTTTGAACACTTACTATGTACCAAGCACTGGGGTAGGTGCCTATACAGAATATAGAAGAAAGCAGCTCTATACCCTGAATTCATGGAGCTCACACTTCATGGTGGGAGACAGAGGATAAATACACACACAAATGATTTGGTGTTTCAATGATTATAGTCCCTTCCTCCCAGGTACTGATGTGATATTTTTTGAATGTGCATCTCACTTACAATCCACTGTAAGTAGATGCATTTCAAAGGTAATATTCACAGACAGTTCTCATATATTAAATGAATTTGTCAGTTTCAGTAAAGAATAAGGAATTTACCCATAATGATATTGTGAGTGTGTGTGTGTGTGTGTGAGTTGTGTATGACCAGAGGTATTGAGGCAGGGTCAGAAAGCAGACTTCTCTTCTCTGTTCAGAGCCTCCCTCTTGCTGGGTTCCATCTGAAAAGCACCATCAGAGTGCTCCTGTTTTAATCATGTGTTATAATCACATATGTAATGGAGCACAATTGATTCTCCCAAACTTTGTTCCATGAAAAATTAAAATTTCACTAGATGTCAATAAGTCATCACTTTAAGCTTCTTGGTCTGATTACTTTAGAAACACTGCATCAGCCTCAGTCTCCACTTTAGAGATCCATAAAAGTATATTGTGATTGTTAAAACATTATTCCTACAGTGGGAAACCCTGTGAACTCATACCACCTGGCATTTCCCAAACTTACGTGACTACAGAATTCTTTTAAATTCTTGAACAGTGAATGTGAATGTGCTGAATGGAAAGTGCAGCCTTACCATTAACTTGATTTTCTTCTTGCTAAAGTTTGTGAAAGCCTGGTAGTGCTCATTAACCCAAATTCAACAATGCAACTTTTTAAAAAAGCAGCTTCCTGGGCTTTAGGGCCTCAGGCAGACCCTGGATGTGTTATGTTGTGTTGTGTAGGGGCAACATCTAGGGGGATGTGTTTCCTTAAGCTGACCATGTCCTTTTAACCAGGGACCAGCATGGAAACAATAGAAGCTTAACGAATATGTTTCCATACCTCTTTGGAGGTATGGAAACAATCCTCTTTATTTTTTTTTAATGATCGTTGTTCAAACCTTCTAAAAATTATTGTTGTTATTATTTCTTTAGGCATTCACGGGCCCAGAGTTCTCCAAATGGGTTTGGTGTCTTCGAAAGACCTGCGAATAAGGTAGCTGGACATTTTGATTCTGAAATAACTGCATGTCCTTCCTTCAGACTCGACCATGTCCATGGGCAGGAGACCTGTCCGTGGCTGCTTGGCTGGGCCATCCAAACATGAAACTCTTAATGATATTTTGAAGTCTTTGAGACAAAAGCCCAGCCTGCTAAAGAACTTTGGTTCAGTAGAGAGACAGGGAGGTACAGGCAAGAGAGAATCAAAAGCCTGGAAATTCGCTGCTGAGAATAAATGCTCACTGCTCCCTGAGGTGATTTGTCTGAGCACTCCACTCTACAGATGGTAGAGCCTCTTTCTGAGTAAGGACCCGAGGTTCTTTGGTAGCACTTTGATATCCTGCTCGAATTCAATATGTGAAATGGAGGCGTCTCTCTGTGACTTGGAGCCCACAGCAGGCTTTGAAGTCTGATCCAATTTTTGCTGCCTACTATTTGATGTTGAAAGGATGAAATGAAGAAAATGTACAGTTTTTGCCAGTAACTCTGCTGAGCATATGTAAGATTAAAAAAACAAAATCCTTTGGATGATGTACTTAGAAATGTTAAGTAGATTAATACCTTCCTATAGGTTTTCTTGTTTCTTTCTTAAGGATAAAAATTAAGTAAAGGTAAAAATCAGCACATAGCTGTTTTTTCTGTTCTGGACTATAATTAATTTAAGAAGGGGGCTAGGTTGACTTGTGCAGAAGACGCACTAAATTAATGAAGAAAAAGCATTGAGACTTTGCTTCTAATTGCCCCTAGGAGGGGACCTTCACTCAATTCTATGCAAGACAGGGGTAGCTTACAAATAGCACCAATATACTTAGCTTCTTCCCACGATGGTCAGGGTTAAGGGTCCCTTAGTTTAATGGAAGCCATGTCCTTAAGGCTGCTTTATCAGAAGATAAAAAATAATGTTTCTCTCACTGGGTCTTTCTGAAGAATTCAGTGGCTGGAACTAAGGCACTGACTTCTTGGACACATCGTGCTACCCCAGATCACCAAGAACTGAGTCCCTGTGAAGCTCCTTGGAAACCTGGTAAGAAGGATATTTCAACTGCATGTTTCTCCTACCATTTGCATGTTTGTGTACTTCTTAGTGAGTTGTTTGTGCAGGACCTTCTACAAGACAGGACTCAATTGGATATTCTAATGACCTATTGTTAGAAAGTTCAGGTTTGGGAGGCTGTAAAGCCTGAAATCAAAAACCCTATTAAAGGTGGAAGTTTAGTGCCTCCTCCTGCCACCCTACAGTTACATTTCCCAGAGAAGAAATGAATATCTAAGGCATTACTTTTCTCTTTATTTGCAAGAATCTCAAATTAGAAAACTTCCCCAACTTCACCTTGTTCAAGGAAAGAAATTAACAGCCTTCAGTGGAATAGGTCCTTCAGGGTCACAATCTGGAGCTTGGGAAAGGATGTGGATTTAGGCAGCACTTCTGTACTTTGGGGAAACATGACCATTCTTTCAGCAAGAAGACAGACGTCTTGTCACATGCCTTTGAGAAATGAAGTATGTGATCCCTTTTCTAAATTCCTTGCTACTCAATACAGTAGAAGTCAGTTTTAGGCTTGTAGGTGAGTATGATCAGTACTTCTGGAAGATAAAATATAGAAATCAATTATAAAGAACATCTCTGAAACAGAAAATACATACTCAGAATAATATGGGTCCTTCCAAAGGAAAAACCTTTGTCAACTTAAGGTATCCATGTTACTTAATATCAGCCTCATATATGTTTTGGAAAGAACAAGTAATTTCTCAGGACTCCAAATTTTTTCTTACTCTGTTTTTCAGTGACAAAGCAGTACAATGTGAAGTAAGAAATACATAATAAATGTGCTATGAACTTCAGTCCAAATGGAATTTAGACTCTCATAGAGAGACAAGAGAAGATGAGTCCATGATAGCAGAACGTTTTACAGGAAGTGATAAATCTGTCAAAGGCAACATTACCCTAATAGTCAGATGGTGTTCAGGAATAAAGCCACAGTGAGGTGGGAGCAGGGCAACATAAAGAAGAGGATTTAGAGGAAAAACAGTATGGTGGAGCAGAATCCCTTATGCAAGAATTTGGTTGATATTTTTTCTCTATCCACATTGACAATCTCTACCTTTTAATTGGGGTGTGTAGCCCATTTACACTTAATGCAATGATTGACACATTTTGGCTTAAATCTATCATCCTCTGTATATTTCTATTTGTCCCATCTGGTCTTTGTTCTATGGTGACATATTGCCTGGCTATGAGTTACAAATCTGTTTGGTTGTAAATGGCTCTTATGTGTATTCCTTTCAAAACCGTCCCTTCCTTTAAATCTGAATAACCTTCTAGTGTGTCTATCACCATCGCCATCACTTCCCTTGCAGTCTTATAAGCCACCCTAAGTGGTTTCCCTGCCTCCATTTGTTTCCTCCTTCATCCTCACTTATGCACAGAAGCCTAAGGAGCTTTTCTAAAGCACAACCCTCATTACAAGCTCCCTTCCTCCATACTCTTCAATGGCTCTCCAGGACCCCAGCACCAACTAGAAGCCTTTTGACATGACATTTAGGCTTTCTCTGCTCTATGGTCTCAATCTTCCTTTCTAGCTCTGATTTCCACTGATGACTCTCATTCTATGTTCAGCATCTAAACTGAACATGCCTGATGTATTCTTTCCCTCCTTTGTGATTTTTGTCATGCTGTCCCCTCTATGTTCCTTTCCCATCCCTCTCCATCCTCCAAAGTCCCAGACTCCCAATCCTGTGCCCTTTGATTTTTCACATAGTACTTATCTCATCCTGCCTTGGACTGTACTTATTTTCATGCATTTAGATTTAAACTCCCTGGTATTGTATCTATGCCTTTAAAGATTCTCTCTGCATAACTCAGCCTCACATTTGCCTGTGCCCCACCACTGGGCTATACCCCAGCCCCTGCTCTGGTTCTTGAATTAAATTCTCCATCATCCAAAATCATAATGAAATATAGTGGAAGTGGAAATGAAATGAAACTCTACTTGAGTAAGTCAGAGATAAGTGCTTAAAGATATTTCTAATAATCCTGGAATAAACTTAATGTCTCCCAGTTATCACCAAACAGATATGACATACTGTGAAAACAAGTTAAAATAATCCAAGTTGTTTCACTTTGCTGCTAATATTTTAGACAGGGCAAGAAAGTTCTGGCTAGAAAAAGCATTATATATAAATCAAATTTCCCTTATCCTTAGCAAGCAATAAGGATGAATCAAAGAACAAAAAATTTACAGTTTTGTTTATAGTAGCAGTTGCAGGAATGAGAGTATATCTTCAAAAGGCAGTTTAACAAATTATACCTACATATTTAAATATACCTTTATATTCTTTGCCTTAAATGACTTACTCTTTCAACCCATGTTTTTGTGGTTGGCTGAATAAAAATACTGTAACCTTTTCAGTTTAAAAAGTAGCATCCAACAGCATCCAACTTGCAGCAAGGTCAGACTTCATTGCTCTGACAGGCAGGGGGTCCATCTAAAGCTCCTGATCCCAAGTTCTGCCACACAGAGAAGTCTGTAAAGGTGGGTCTGGGCCAAGGCTGTCCCTTAGTGAGAGAATCTAAGAAATGTCACCAACTGGCCCATGTGCTCACATGGACAGAAAATCACAACACACCCAGAAAACACATAACACAAATCACTTTGCCACTAATCCAAACAGTTAAATTATTTAATGGGACCTACAGGAATGTATACAGACTTAATCTGATTTTCCTACATAAACATTTATTAAATATTCCTTAGGAATAAATGTTCTCCTCTTTGTTTATTCATTTATTTATTAAAAAATAATTATTAATACTCACTAAATGCCAGAGACTGTCCTTAGCCAGTACTTCTCAAATTGTTTTGAAAGACCATTTTTCCCAATCATTTTCCAATTTGCAGTGTGATACTTTTATGAGACACAACAAAAATAAATCACCAGAAAAACAGTCATGTACTTGGATAGTGTGCCAATAGCAAATTGGTCTCAACTTCTCTAAATCTCTGACTCTACACCAACTCATTCTTTACTGAACTTTCTTTACTAATCTTGGTGGGGACCAGTAACAGGAGCCAGCCTGCCGACCACATGACCACAAGTCAGTGAACAACACAGGCACATTCCTGTTCACAAGATGCCGTAGGCTAGCAGAGAGAAACAGGAAACAGCATGCATGATTTAAAAATGAAATAAAATAAAGAAGTCAGTGGAGTATTGGGGTAAGCACAGCAAGGGTGGTGAGGAGAAGTCCAAGTATGCAGGGTGGGGCTGGGGGGTGGTTGTTCCTTAAATAGACGGTCTGGGTGGCTTCTCTGCAGATTCCAGGTTTGAAGGCTTGAAGCTAGAAGAGCTCTCCAGGCAGGGAAACAGCCCGGGCAAAGCCCTGAGAGAGCAGGCAGGAGGGTAGAGAGGCGCCTCTATGATTGGAGCTGAGAGAGGAGAGGAGAGGAGAGTTGTAGGAAATGAGGAGCCAGACCACAGAGGGCAGCTCTTCAGAATCCTAGCCCCACCCTGGGAATCTGGTTAAAATGAAGTCTCTGAATCTGCAGCTCTGTGGGGCTCTGACATTCTGCAACTCTCAGGAGCTTCCTGTGGGTTGCCTTTTTGGTCCCTGGTCCACATTTTGAGTCCACATTTGAGGGTGTCATCTCAGGGAAGGGGCTAGGCAGCACTTCTAGCACAGGAGGAGAATCATTCCAATTGTGTTTTGCTTTTGTTTTTTGTTTAACTTAAAAACAAAACAAAACAAAAAAAACAAAACCCTTCTTCTTCTTAGTTATATACACCAGGATCACAAAAGCGGGGAACACAACCTGCTCCAATTCCATTCCCCAGCACCCACCCTTCCCACCCCTCCACTGATCCCTCTTGAATCCATTTACAGTTTACTTTTTTTTTTTAAATTAGCGTTCTGTGCACACACCTGATCCAGGACCCACCGCGCCACACCCATGCATGCTCATGAGAAAACTCGGTCAGATTCATTCCACTGTTTTCCCTGTCTCTTCTTTGTCCCCTTCAAATCCGATACTGATCTTTCCTCTCCTTTGTTGAAATTCCCTCTCTCTTTTTTGTCCTTTCTCTCTTTCTTTATTTTTGTTGTTGTTTTCTGTTGTTGTTTTTTTTTTTTTTTTTTTTTGTTTGTTTGTTTTTTAAGCAAGCCCTCCAGATTTGGGCTTAAGGATCAGTGGTAGATGTCATCAAGGAATGAGACAGTCTGCATGAGAGCCTTTTCCAGACAAAGAAACTTTCTAAAACCTGTAACGGCCTTTCACACTGAGTGTACCAAACACCATTCTCAGTGTCTCGGGATCTGATTATTAACAATTACCACGCTGGGCCGTGATGCAGAGAAATGGCCAGAGACCATCATGAAATGGGGCCACCTGCCCTTAAATTAAATGACCCTCAGTCCTTAGGATTTTTAGTTAATGTGCTGATTCCATCTTTTCTTTCTTCTCTCTCAACACAAAAACGATGTTCCTTGCCATTGCTAATGTACTTTTCTTCCCTTCTTTCTTCCTTGCCCTTCTTTGCTGTGGTCTAAAAAACAGGGTTGAACCATTTTTTTTTCCTTCTGCAGTAAGATAAATGGGTGTGAGTGGAGGATCTGAGGAAATCCTGCAGGAGTAGGACCTCCCACACAGGAGAGACCTGCTGCAGGCACCAGGGGCTTTGCTCCCATTTTCAGGCTTTAGTTTAACTCTGGGGACTCTGCCCACCCAGGTTCCCTGTGTACCTCACGTGAGGGAAGTGTTCTCTTGCTATCTTCTCATCTACAAGGAATCTATTTTAACTGTAGTTCTTTTTAAGGTCACAAGATCATTGTCCCTGTTAGGAGTAACTGCAATGACATCACACCTTCAATTTTATTTTATTTTTTAAATTTTTTAGTTGTAGATAGACACTTCCTTTATTTGTTTTTATGTGATTGAACCCAGTGCCTCACACGTGCAGGCAAGCACTCAGCCACTGAGCCATAACTCCAGCCCACACCTTCAATTTTTAGGGTGCTGAGGAGCACAT